TGCGATACGAATATGATGACCACTACTTCATGACCGATCCGCAGGTTGCTGGCCATCTTTCTTCAAGTTTTACGGTCCTTCTTAGCCAACACTTTTGTTCATCATTTGTTAATTAATTCTTGGTGGATGGATGATGTTCATTTTCGGTATTTTCTGACGGCAACATCCCGGACGTTCTCCACACTGGAAGTTCAGATAAAAAGTGTGTTGTACGAAAACGACATGAGAAAAACCGAAAGATGAAATACGTCGGAGAACCGAAAGATGAAATAAGTCGTAGAAATGAAAACACTGAAGGCCAGCCTTTGTTTGGGCAATAAAAAATTTGATTAATCTGTTCCTCAAAGGCAGACAAGTTCATTCCCCTCAGCTCACCCCTTTCATCTCTTAGACATAATAACTTTCTCGAAGCAAGAAATTGATTTATTTTGCAGAAGTAGTTCTAAATCGAAGCGATTGTTTGCATCCTTAATCAATTAAGTCTGCAAATTCCCCTTAGCACGGTACCGTACCATTTCGGAAATTACCACATTCGTCAACTGGAAAAAATCAAAAAGCAAAGTTGTTGTGAATACTCAAATGATCCATGAGAAAAGAATTATTTCGAAATACACGCCACGTAATAAAGACGCGATTCTTAAACAGGATTTTGCGGAGTACAGCTTCATAGTAATTTAATTTTATAGGAATTTATTTATGAATTTTTCCCGCAAGAAGCCGAATGGCAGTTGTTGGAAAGGCCGATAACACTTAGGCAATTCGAAGCACTGCCGTTCGTGCGCTCGCTTTTCTTCCGCTACGGCCTCAGCTTCACAGATCCGAACTTGAGGGCCATCGTTAAGGTGTGATTAAACTTGTTAATTATCAACTGCAGATGCTGAAAGTTCCACGAGTCCTTACCAGTAGTCACCGATGACCCACAGCCCAGACGCCCATCGCTGACAAACCAAACGTCAGTGATTGGCCAGTTCTTCGGGAACCTAGATCAGCGGACTTGGCATCTTTATCTTAGGAAATCTTTTGCTTTGAGCATGCTTCTTAAGAAGCTGGCGATACTGACAGCCTGTAAGAGGACAAGAATAGCATTTATTAGAAGTGCCATCACTCAAATAGCAAACGGTTGCAGCCTTCCTTAGAGAGTGACTGGAGTTTCAGCCTGGAAAGTAAATAAGAGACCGTATAATAATTAGCTTTTTTATAAAAGATATTGCTACTGACTGGTGGATCAAATCTTTCCGAAAGATGTGAAGCAAAATCCCTCCATAATACAATGTCTTTGACAGGTGTAGGCGCTCGAAGCGCGGACTAATAGCACTTGCCTAAAGGCAAGACTCTCGATGGCTCCACCTGACAAGTGCCGTTTAGAAGTACGTTGATGGCAGATCCCTGTGGCATGCCAGTAGCAACTTGCTATCGAAATGAATGAGCGAACAGTGAAGGGACTGGTTGTGTCACTACCAGAGTCAAACAGTTCCTTCTCTGCCAGATTTAAACTGTTAGAAAACACAAGCACTTGATGGTAACAGGGCAACACTGGATAATACAAAATCCAGTAAAGCAATGATGATAAGTGAAATGCATAAATTCCCAAAATATCGCACTGACAGCTGCACCGTAGATTAAGCACACTCTTGAGGAGCGTAGCAAGCTCCAGCCACAAGTGTTTGCCCTGACAAATAGAAACTATTGTTTTGCGTATCAGTCGCTACTTCCTCACTTCCTTAGTCTGTTCTCTAACGTTTAGTAATTATAAAATTTTTTTTGTTGTGAATGTTTGAGAAGCCTCGCAGCACATGCATGTGTTTGCAGGCAGATCGAAGTGGAGCAGCAACAATTTCGATAACTATGTCCACCGAAGCGCTAAATTCTCTGATATTTCACTACAACCTCAAGTAATTTTTCATTTTCAACCTAAAGCCATTACTCGTTAAAGACTTGATAAATTATGGATAATAGGCAGGCTTAAGAGGGAAGCGAAAATTTGCGAGAAATTGGAAAACGAGATCCTTGTTCTCCAGGGGACAGTTGTCCCAGATCTGACTAATTATTCAGTAATGGAAACGAATACACTAGGAACCAACGTAAGCAAAGAACGAGCAGTGTAACTGATGCGATTCTCGGTAACTTGAGGTTTTGTGCAACAACAGGTTGCCTGAGAAAACATTGCTCATCGTGCATTCCAACTACATTTCACGCAAGAAATTCAAGAATCTCGTGGAATTTATGTTTTTTTCTTCGCTTCCCAAGAGCAGCCGTTGCCAAACTTTCCGTGAACCAAATAATTGTTCTTCGTTTAAATGTGGAACAGTGCACATTTAAACGAAGACAGACACGATCCTAATGATTCAAAACAGTATAGTCCTGGGATAAATAAACAAATTTAATGAATCGAAAAACAGGATGATGTGAGAATTGTCAGCACCATTGCCGCACTTTTGTGTCACTGCCCTCCTCTTCGAAATAATCAGAGTCGGGGCTCTTTGCTCATGTTAAATTGTGCCCTAGATCTCATGTGCAGGTTGCCTTGGGAAATCTACTTGCAAATGTTTTCGTGCTGATAGCAAAGAAAGAAAAGCGTTCGTTGAAAATGTATGTTGCTTTAATAATCATTGGCGACGCGCACCGGGCGGGCCTGTGCAATCAGCAATTACTAAAACTCGGCTCGGCACGGCTCGGCTCGGCTGGTGTCTTACACGATCAGCCAAAAA